TCGTCTGTACACTGTACAGTTTACTGTATAGTGAAATAGCTCTACCTCAGTGCAACTCGTGTGAGGACATGGCGTGTTGCTCGTCTGTACAGTGTCCTGTGTACTGTACAGTGAAATAGCTCTATCTCGGTGCAACTCGTGTGAGGACATGGCGTGTTGCTCGTCTGTACAGTGAACTGTGTACTGTACAGTGAACTAGCTCTATCTCGGTGCAACTCGTGTGAGAACATGGCGTGTTGCTCGTCTGTACAGGGAACTGTGCAGTGAAATAGCTATATCTCGGAAACCGTACGGAATAGGACATATGTACATGTACACTTTTTGCGTAGCATGGCCAATACTATGACCTCCCAGAATACTGGCCTTTACTCCTGGGACACCCCGTAGAATATCCCTGAAAGGGTAGCGGGTATACCATTAGGGGTTAGTGGGGACTGGGGTGGGTGATTAGAACGCAAGAAACAAGGGTGGCCAGACTGTCAGTCGCCACGCGACACGGACTGCCACTTCCCGTCAGCACACTGCGACGTGGGTCACGAAGGAAGCGGAAACCCTGCCCAGACACGCCACGTCTCATTCTGGACCATTTATTCAAATTTTGTAACGCATTTGCCGAAGAAGGAACCGAGATGCCTCAGTCGGTATAGCGACATGCTACGGGCTGAACGGCCAGGGTTCAATCGTGGGTAGTGTTACTTTCTTCTCCACAGAGCCCACACCGACCCTGAGGCTCACCAGCCCCCTATCCAATGAGTCTGAGGTGTGAAGCTGACCACTCACCTCCATTCAGTTCCGAGGGAAAGTGGAGCTGTATGTGTTCATGGCGCAGTACTTATGCAAAAAACAAATTCAATTTTCATTTCATGGAAACGTGTAGTCTGGTAGGTAGGTAGGAACGTGTCCAAGGAACATACGGCCTCCATCTTCATAACAGATATATCTACAGAATGTTCCCTCGACACGCTGGAGAGCGTCCATTGGATTACACAGTACTAATGACACAGAGGAGCACGATATGACAAAAATAAAGGACGTCCACTGCAGGTTACTATTATTTTTTATTATAATTATTAGTATTATTAGGGTGGAATGCAGTTCAGTTACTAAATGGCTCACAGAGGAAACTGAGCATTTGGTGAAATGAGAATTGGCAGGAGAAGAACTACTCGGAGAAAACCCGCCACATTGTAACTTTGTCCTATATAAATCCCAGATGAACTGACCCGGGATTGAACACGAGCCACCGGCAAATAAACGCTTGAGATATGGACCGGCCTAGACGTCTGTCTCTCTTGCGGGAGATGTGTTGTTCTTACTGTGGTAGCTAAGCAGAGTAGTAAGCCATGGGATGCGACGCCGTTTAGTCTGGTAAAATGCACTGACATTTCACAGCAACCCATTGCGTCCACATCCACAGTTGAATTTCTTGGATTACAATATCTTCCTTAAGACAGGGGCAGTACTTTCCTCCGAAACGTCGACAAATATATGTGTATTCTACTTATCATCGTGCCCTCCCTATATAGCAAGGCTACCATTATGCCCGTTCGGCTGCGTGATCTCCTGGTCAGTCACACCAATAAACTTCCGAAACAATGAAATTCTGTATGAACGTCAGGACGTCAAAGAGTTTACTGAAACTGAGTATTTTTGTTATACTTTTCCACCGTCAATTCGGAAGCACGTGGCAGCGTAGTTTGCTGAGGCACCACGCTACAAGCCGTAAGGTCGCGGGTTCGATTCCTGAAGATGTCAATAGATTCTTCAGTTGACCTAATCCTTCCAGCCGCACTATGACCCTGGGGTCGACTAAACCTCTAACAGAAATGAGTACCAGGAATCTTCCTGTGGGTAAAGGGCGGTCGGTGCTTAAGGCCGACTGTCTAGAAAATGTGGGAGCCTCGACGCCTCACAACCCTATGGGCCTCCACGGCTTGTCGCAGTGATAGATTTAATTTTTTTACCGTCAATAAGACCGTGAAAAACGTGCACACACATGAAGTACATGAGCGCCAGTTAACACTGCGCGATGAAACTTATGTGATGAGAAATGTTCCGAAATATGAACCTTACGTGAATGTAAAGGTTTCTGTAGACGTGAGACACACAGCCGAACTTCTGCGTGATGACTGCAACGAGTGATCAATAAAGGTGTACATATGCAACTGCGAACCCTGCGTGAAACACTTGTTAGTCCCACATTTTGAGATCTGTGAACATGCCGACAGTGAAACTTTTCAAAAGAAAACAACTACACGTCTCAAGTTCGCTCTAGAAATTCTTGTTTCAAATTAACAGCAAACGAAAGAGAGAGACAGACAGTCTGTGCAAATGGAACAGCGCTGAACAAAGAAATAGAAGCTGAATCCAGTTGTGACAGGCCAAGAAACTTCCATTTCGGTGGAGGTTAAATTTAAGGGACATGTCGAGACTTTGCATCAAAGAATCGATACTGCATTATTAAGTTCGTAATTCTGCACTGAACCCAAGCGTAACACACCCACGAAATTGGTTCACCAATTACTGATAAAAACATATAAAATATTCTGTGACTTTGTCAATTCTGTTAACGACAATGACAGTAGTTGGACTGCATAGCGTCCAGTGGAAGGATGACTGATGAGTGATGAATAGTAAGGTATCTGGAAGGAATCAGTTGCCTGATACAGGTATCGTCCGGAAATCTGCCTGGAGGGACTGAATAAATCCATGAAAAACAGGACAGCCGGTGTCCCAGCCGACATTCGAAAGAAGCACCTTTAGAATTAGCCTCAAGCGTTACCGCTCCGTCAGCTCGGTCGATTATACTTAACCACGCCCATATATATACATCATTCGGAACAAGAATTACAATGCGAGAATCGTACTTAAAATATTACGCAAGTATTCAAGGTCTTATCATTGGTTGCAGTGTAGTTCACAGCAATACTGCGTGTAGGAATTTCAGACTACCATTGCAGAGGAGTGTCATTCTTACGGCTGTTCATGTGATCGTAAGCAGACAGAACACTAGTCGCCCAACATGTCATTTTCTGCAGAAAGTCCGCAAATGACTGATACAATTTTAATTTGTTATACCAAGGTAAGCATTACAGCTATGCAATTGTAACTAGTGCCTTTTGAATGACAAACTCTCAAAGTTTGATGCTCAATGCGGGTTCCATTCGTGGCCCGACAAATGTCCAGTCTGTAATCAAGCTCATCCCATATTCAACTGTCTCGACAGCTGCGGTGAATCTCAACTTCAGTGCATCAATGTCCAGGGGCAGAGGTGGCACAAACACATGTTCCTCTAGATAATCCCACAGAAAGAGGTCACATCGCCCGCTGAACACTGGTACATGATTTTGTTGTCGCGTACTCAATCATGCAAAGGCTCTTCTCTATGCAAGACGCCATTTCTGATAATTACGGAGCCTGGGGGCAAAGGCAGCCAAGGTGGGGATAAGCCGTCAATATTGAAATCTCTAACAATCTGACTTTCCGCTGATACCGATTATACTACTACTACTACAGTAGTAGTAGTAGTAGTAGTATGTGGGGTATTCTTTGTAGTTTCTTCACATTTCATTTCCGAAAGCGCAGGAATCACCCTGTACTTCTGGAAATATAATTTCGAGCCACCCAGTGGCCGCGTAATCCTGATCCGTTTGCCGGGGTCATCACATGGCGTACACAGCAGACACCGTCCACCGCACAGTGCGTACTAGTGGCAGGCTGTGGGGTGTCTGTGGGCCCTCAATTCTGAGAACGTGGCTTCACAATCCCCAGCCCGTGAACCTGCAGGAATTACTACCGCCCGCGATTATAACTGTGACCCCTGAATGAGGCGGAATTTTCCTCCGAAGCGTAGGTACCCGCCCACAAAATGACACAATATCACAATTTGAAAAGCAAGGACTGAGAAAACTTAAATACGTGTTACCTTCAGAGCACCCCTTACGCCAACCTGCACGCAGAAATCGAATATGTGATAGTAATGACATTTTAAGGTGCCGCGCCATAGCTCAAGCGGCTAGTCGCTGGCTTCCCACCGCGGAGGCCCGGGTTCGATCCCGGGTCTGGTCACCAAATGCTCCACAATCACCCTCACCTGTCATCTGGGGCTGGTACAATAGGCCAGAAGTGGCCGCAGTACAAGGGACTTAGTCCCACCCCACTAGCAATAAAAAACATTTTAAAATGAAACTTTATGTTGCATTAGAGACGGAAACAAGTGGACGACTGATGCTGTAGTCGTCTATACGAATTCACTTCGGGTTCCTACATTCGAGGTGTGAGCGGTTGGGAAGAGACTGATCAAGTGGGAGTATGACAGAGTCAATGAATGATGCAGTGATAAAGCGAGCGACTGATCTGTTGTGACAAGATCAGATGAGACAAACCGATTGCTCAGGCAGCAGACAAGGTGATGGTGAGCGGTTGGGAAGAGGCTGATCCAGTGACAAAGTGAGCGACTGATCTGTTGTGACAAGATCAGACGAGCAAAGGATCAAATGAGAGTGACCGATTGCTCAGGCAGGAGACAAGGTGACGGTGAGCGACTGAAAAGAGTGGGAAAATGATCTGGTCATCAGTAGCTGATGATCAGGTGAGGGAGTGCAGGACTGATGAGTTGACAGAAAGATCGAATGAGTGACTCATCACGTTAAAGTGAGCGACTTATCAGTTGGGAGAACGAGTGAGCGTCTGTGCGTTGAGTGTGAGATGAGGAGTGTAGAAATGTAGCTGTAGGTACGTAAGAAAGTGTCTGAGGAAAAGTGAGAGCAACGACATATATTCTAGGCATCCACAGACACCCATGAGTTCTGTTGAATCACATTAACACTTTGTTTCAGGGGGGGAAAAATCACACATGAAATATACCGCAGATTGCGGACCGCTGCGAACCAGGGGCGGTGCCCCCAAATTGTCAAGTACAAATGCCAGGTTCCTGGATAACCTGCTAATCTCAGTATCGAACTTATCTACTGTGGATGTTGACACTGGTCAGTGCTTACCTTGAGAGGGAGCTTGGGCCATTTGGACTTGCGCACTTTGTAACGCTCCTCGAAGTTGGAGTCCCAGTATTCACGACTTTTCATCCAGTAGGGCTGCAACGAAACGGCAATAATCAATGCAAAGGTTTCATAAACACAGCGCAGAATACCCCCACTACTAAGTGACTAACTCCCCTCAGTAACTTAACAGACATCATTTCTTTGTGGGTTACTTTACACCCATTTCATTATCAAATGGTATAATTACAGATCAATTAGAAAGAGTTTGGACGGAAACGAATATGGCCTAATTGAGGTATCAACCTAGCATTCTTACTAATACCATAACTGACCAAGTTACTGAACGAAAGCCCGAACAAATCAGTGGATGAAGTAACTATGGTAACTGGGCCAATAGCTTGACGACTCGTGGTTCAATTCCCACCTGTGGGAAAGACATTTCTCACTTCTCCACTGCGACCAGATTGCTTATGGGGCCCATCCAGCCTTCGATACAACGGGTATGGTGTTTACCGCGGTACTACTGTGACGAGAACCCCCCCCCCTCATCTAACGCTGAAAATAAGAATCCATGGAATCCATATCCATATACGTCTTCATGCCATGGTGCTTCATTAAGCATTTTACTCTTCAAGTTAATAACTTATTAGGAGCAGTATGTTCTGTGATGTAACGCGGTGTAGTATGGGGCCAGCCCGTGCTTCGCATGAAATACCACCTCCAGTTTCAGAGTCGAAGAATAAGAGAAGCAAGAAACGAGCGGAAGCACGCGGAAAATCTCGTCCACACAAACAAACCACCAACCAGACACAGCGCAACACACATCCACACGTGACACTGGTGTCACGGCAGAACATCGAGTCCAGCAAGACAGAACATCCAATGACAGCTGCCAGCAATCAAGAATACACAGAATTACATTATACACATGCTTTGTTGACGATTTGATACAGATTAAACAAGTCCAAGCAGGCCACAGAACTTTTATATGCTTATATTGTCACGTTATGAGTGACTATAGGCGGGGTTTAGTTGGTAATTTGATTCACTAAACACTTACAGATCCTAAATACAAGCAACTATAGCGCTATCGCTAATTCACACACTCTGCAGTTCACTACAGGACGCATTAAGTCTTCTCAGTCTGCTGTGTCTTCACCAATCGTTGCCTGGTGACGGATCCCAACAGCGCCCTCTGCTTACGTGCTCACGTTCTTACCGGCTGGCGAGTGTCCCACAACTAACTCACTCGCCAGCGCACTCATTCTCGGGTCCGAGACCCGCGGGACTCATGACCATATTTTGCTGCCTCAGATTCGAGATTCCCCCAACCTGGTGGGCCAGGTCCCTGTATTTATATCCCCCAGGAACAGGGTAATCCAGTTATACCCCCAGGCACTGAGTTCCATTTTCGTCGCCTCCTACGGCTCGCAGGGCTACGGTGGAGTTGTTCGACCCCGCCTCCACAGGGCATACCTGAATGCCACTGACCGGTATATAACTTCGTACTGCAAAGGACGTCACCAGCACTCACTAGTGAGTTATTGGTTTATGTGCGCAGCACACAAAGTCATGCATAATACAGCGCTGATACCATCCTGATAAAAACGAGAGTGGGTCGGGCTGTCCTGTCACAACGCAGCACACAGCGTTGTGATACATGAAGCCGACTTCAGCACGAAAACAGCGCATTACACAGCAATGTTTCCGTTCAGCACGTCTGAAATGATTTGGCCGCTACGTACCGATATGTACCAGAGACAAGAGTCGCAGAAATTCTGAAGTAAACTGCCAAACTTTCTCGTGTGGACTACGTCTCATGTCAAGACAGAGCCCCATTCCCAGTGAAGGCGGTCTCTATCGACCCATATACTAGTGAGACGGAGAGTCAGTTATTAGGTCACAAACGGAAGCAAAACAGCTGTAATGGACTAATTGGTTTTCTGTATGTATCACTATGTAGCACCACAGTTCAGTTTAGGTAGCAGAAGCGCATGGCCATGTTCAATGGCCGGTTTCTGTAGTAAAAATGGCGACCGTGTTTGAGGTGTGTACCACCTAAGAGCTGGGTTTCGTTGTGCGTTCTTTTGGGGTAAAAGGACTCAACGTAAAGGATATGCATAATGTTTCCCTTTTACGGTGGGAAATGTTTGTCGCCTAAAGCGGTTCACAGCTGGGTTGAGAAATTCTCTCAAGGACGTTCGAAAGTCGCAGATGATGCCCGTCCTGGTGCGGAAGTGGCTGGGAGAACAGTCAAAAGACTTCAATGCCGCGGGTTTCAGCGCACTGGTAAAGCGATGGGACAAGAGTATAAATGGTAGACTTGAAAGGATTCTGACGATGGTGTATAGTGTATTTCTTTTGGCTTATCGTCGAGTGATTGAGACTAGCTCTTTCTAAGGGGCCCAACTGAGTAGGTCTATCCTTCCCTATCTACCTGAAAACGGAGACAGATCCAGTCTCCGAAACGTCTTTTTTTTGTCTTTTATATACCAGACGATGGGTGAAGTCCAAAATAAGCCAAAAGAAGTACGAGTATAAATGTTGGAGGAGGATATCTCGAGAAAAAACAAATTTCCAAGTATGAATATCATACGTTTCAGGTTTTATATCCATTTGTGGACTATTTACTGACTCTCTCTCTCTCTTATGAGAAAGAACTGCAATGATGAATTAGTTGATCTCGAATTTAGACTGATTTACCCGCTTTCAGCAACGCTGAACGCGGAATGACTTTTTTCTAACGCCGTATAGGGTACTTCGGAGTCTCTTCGGTCATGGGGCTACTTCATTCACGCTAAGAAATTCCTGCACTAGTTAGGCAAGTTTACCTGCTGATATTAGAACGCGCTATACATCGCCCTCTTGGAATTTTCAAGTTTGCGTTTAACTGTGCATCTGGAGGCAAGTGATTTCGGCTTCATTTCAACATTTGTGCAAGTTAATTAAATGCGATATAAGCTCTAACTTAAGCTATAACGCTGAAACCGTCTTTATTTCACGGCGTGTGCAATCTGATGTGCCTGAACCACAAGAGAGAGCCTCCAGGTTCTGTTGAATCGCTTCAGCCCTACATCTGCTTTACTTAATTAAGAGTGGAAAGGGGCAGTTGTGGTCACTGAGGAGCGGCTACTTCGGTCACCCGTCTGCGAACTCTATGACTGGTGACCGGTACCTTGTTCTGCTTCAGATGTTCAAATAGCGCTTACAGTTTGTGGACAATGAAGAGTTGCGTTGATAAAGTTCTGGGAGGGAAGTCAGTTTTGTAGCTATGGCAAAGTTGTTTACAGCTTTTAATTATTTTTATATGTAGTCCTGATTCCTGTGTAATAATCCTTCTCGTGGAGTACTGGTATGTTTATTCTCTTGTCGCGGGGTTGACTCCCGACGAGGTCACTGGATTTTTTAATTGACCTAAGTGGTCGGTAAATCCATTCACTGATTCAAACCCCGTCTATAGTCACTCATACAAGTGATAGTACTTTATGGAGACCGATCTCGGAAAATAAAAATGTATGGATAGTATTTTCAAACAAAAATAACGATACGCACATTTGGGGCCCAAACTCGATGTACTGTTCCGTTAAGAAGGGCTGGATCGACGGGTCTGGTTTTAATTTCACACATTTGAGATGTTGATGGTTCCAATAAAGCGAACATGCTAGATGACACATAAAAGGCGAATGCATTTCAGCAGCG